TTCTCATAAACGCTTATTACACATATTCAATACCACCTGGACAACGAACGTTTTCCCCAAAATATGGGGACAAGCAATAACAGTTCCTATCCTGAAGTCTAATAAATCTCCCCAGCTACCAGAATCGTACATACCTATATCACTAACCTGCTGTATGTGCAAGCTTCTTGAGAAAATAATTAACCTATTAGCCTACCAACAAGCTGGTTTCAGATCAAATAGATCTACTATAGATAATATAATACAATCAACATTGTATGGCAATTTACTTTGATATCAACAAAGCGTTTGATACAGCCTGGAAATACAACATCATTTCTAAAGTCCACAAATGGGGATACAATGGAAACATTCTATCCTTCATTTCCAACTTCCTCGACAACAGATGTTTCCAAGTACGAACAAATGGTGTACTGTCGGAACAAAAACAAGAGATCAACGGAATACCTCAAGGTTCTATTATTAGTCCAACTATATTTCTTATAACGACGTTCTAAGAGATATCGAACTACCTCTTCAGGCCCGTCTATACGCGGACGGTATGATCGTATTTGTGAGGGGAAAGAACTTGACAACAAATGCATCGTTACTACAACATTACTTGAATAAGCTTTAATACTGGTCTAAGCAGACAGGATTTGCCTTTTCAACTGAGAAAACAACTTGCATCATTTTCTCGAAGAAGCCTGTGCGTGACAAGCCCACTTTAAAGTTGTGCAATAAGATTCTAAAGTACACCAGCGACATCAAATTCTTGGGAATCACATTTGATAATCGACTTAATTGGAAGAAACATATAACAGATGTCATTCAGTCTTGTCAAGCAGGGATCAACATGCTAAAGTACCTATCAAACAGACACTGAGGGGCTGAAAGTAAGACACTGCTTACTATATATAGAGCACTTGTAAGATCCAAGATTGACTATGGCTGCATCGCGTACCACTCAGCAAGACCTTCAGTTCTCAAACCTTTAAACGTGCTTCACAATACTGCGCTGCAATTAATATTAGTAGAATACAGAACCACACCGGTAGACAGTCGGTACTGTGAATCGGGAGAAGCACCATTACACATAAGACGTCAGATAGTATCGTCAACACTTACTACTGTCACCGATACCATCCCGTCTTGGATTATATGTCAACCAGTTACCAATACAACACTCACCAAGTTCAACAAAACCGAAACACCCAATGAAGTTATATACCAGAATTTCTGTAATATCATAGGCGACTATCCAGGGTCAAAACAATTATACACTGATGCTTCAAAAACAAAGCAAAGCGTAGGAGCAGCAGTCATCACTCCCACATCCACAATAAAACTGAAGCTCCCAGCAGCAGCATCCATACTGACGGGAGAGCTTTACTCAATCACGGAAGCTGTCCAGTTTATCAAAAACAGTCCTTGTCAGAGGTGGGTAATAATTACAGACTCCTTAAATTCAATCGAGTCCATAAACAAACTGAATACCAAAAATCCACTGGTCAAACTAATCAAGGAGGAAACTTACTTCTAAACAAGGAGATAACTCTATTATGGGTTCCCTCACATAAATCCATATTGGGCAACGGAATGGCGGACAGGGGCGCAAGATCAGCGGCGGACGCCAAAATGCAGACAATACAAAAGATTCCTGTTTCCGATATCAAGACATACTTCCACAACATGGCAATAGAACAGTTTAACAATAAATGGAGAAGCGGATCAGCGAAGCTTCTTGAAGTGAAATCTCGTCTTGGTCCCTGGCAGATCAACACTACAAATAGAAGGCATCAGGTTCTGCTGACCCGTCTTCGTCTGGGACACACCAGGGCCACACATGGTTACCTCATATCGGGAGATCCCGTACCTCTTTGTACAATTTGTGAAGTGTCCCTCACCGTTAAGCACAGAGTGTCCCATGCTAGAATACCAAAGAGTGTCCTCCAACTTACGATCTAGCTTAATAGACATTATGGGCTCGGAATGTAACATAAATAATCTACTCTTATTTTTACAAGCCTAGTTGGTGGCATGTAAAAAGAAAAAATTGAGTAATGTAAAAAGAAAAAAGAAAAGTCTGACTTTGCTTTTCGGAAATTATACATGTTAATATCCCTAAATAAGGGAAATGCGTCAGGGTTAACATTAATATTTTCAAAACACATATCAAGAGCTGGATGATGGGGTATATCTTCAGGTACCAGTGGCAAAGTATCACGAGAAACAGAACAAGTTGCATTTGATTATATTAGATTATGTTTGTCAATAGTTTCTAGAAGTTAAGTACATCACGAGCATCATTGATCTCAATTTGGGCAATAAATCCGATCCACAATTCTGTAGATGACAGCACTTTGCATGCATGTATTTAGCGCGTCAAGGCACACTGATCTCTGCGGTCGAACTGGGCAAAAGGCTAGTGACTTCGTTTCTGGCAAAAGATTATCGCTGGCTAGGATGTAATTGAGCCTTCTAAGATACATTAAATTTCGCGTTCAGTCTTTAGGGATGGATGAGTTTTGCCAGGTATCTCCCGACGAATCTCTAAGGCTGCGGTCAGAGTGACTCCGTTTTCGGCCGAATAATTTTTCGGCCGTGTACGCCCGTTCCTCGGATCGTTTTAGTTTCTTGATATTCTATTGACTTGGTCACAGTGCATCCGATTTCGACCGACAAGTACAGCAGCATTTTTCGGAGATCAGATGAGATCAAAATAATTTGTTTTTTTTCGGAAGCTTCAGTGAATTTTGATGCGTATAATTTCATAAGAACGGTTGATTGTGAAATTATAATTAGCCTGATTTTTGAAAAAAATAGTTTGTGGGATATAAGAAATAAATACTACCACAATACAGACATAACACGTAAGCTGTGGAATGAAATTGCCACAGAAATGCAAACTTCAAGTAAGTATTCGATATTATTTTCTTGATACAAACAGCTTAGGATAAAAAATAGTGTACGAGAATATTGTATAATATAGCTCCTACAGTGTTAAAATATTATTTAAATGTCTCGCGTATTTCATTTTGCTGATTGCTTCAGTAGTTGCAGAAAGAGGGTATATGATATTCTCCAAATCTTATCCTGGAGCGAAAAATATAGTTTGTGTGATATTTCTCCCTTTTCATTACTAATATTTTAAGGCGGTACTCGTTTCAGCAGATAAAAGCGTCTGTAAGTTCATTTTGCTACAAACGCAAAATAAAAGCTAACTATCGAATAGAGAGAGCTATGGCAGAACCTTTCAAATCCTTTCCCTGAGAGCGGAGCCATACAGACCATCTTCTTCGGCCGTAAACATGCACCTGTGTTCCCCTGTTAGAGTCCGTGCGACATTACCCCTTCCCACAGTACCCATGGGTGTTTGGCCTTAGACATTCATGGTAGTTCGAGTATAAAAAGGGAACGTTCGTGGCCTTCAATGTTCCACCCACCTTAATAGGAAAATTCGGGCTTAAGAAGAAAGAAACATGCATTTGTTGACGAAAGTGGAAATGAAAACATTAAATATAACGGTCTGATTTTTAATATCTACAGAACAAAATAAAACATGCCCATATTTCATATAAACTTTTTTGGAAAAATGTTATTATACAGGAGTGTTTCCTTACTGATTGCCGACTACAAGAAATTACAATTCAAAATAAATCATTACCACACAGTTTTTAGTGAGTTTCAATGAAAGTTTGTACTCATACATCAAAAACCCTGTATTTCCACGAATTATATGGTACCTATTTATTTTGAATTTTAAATTCTGGAAAGCTGCATAAAATTCAGTAACGTAACACCCAGAACTTGTATAGCAAAATAAAGCTTAAACAAGGACAACGCAAAACCGTAAGAATGCTCAAGGTTTTCTATTTGATTTTCTTGATGATACAATAAATTAAAACATTTAGAAATCACAAGAAAATATGAATGTAAGAAAATTTGCTACTCTATCAAAAGTGACCGGCTTCTAAACTGTTTTTTGACAGAATTTCCTGTAGGTCCGTAAGTAGCGAACCAAATCATATATAAAACCTACTAGAATATACAGGGCATTTCATTTAAAAAATAGATGTTTGTGCTGCCACGTAGTTATAAATCATCATGCAGAGAGCAAAATATTGTCCAAGTATGGAATTTTTGCAAACAAACTTCCTAGACATAATTTGTTGTAGCGCAGCCTCGAGGGATGTCTTTTAAGTTTTGCATACAGAAACATAGTAGGCAGCGCGGATCGAACGTCAGTACTGAATCTTAACCTCACTCTTTAGTAAACTTAAATTCAAAGTTTCACAACAATACGTGCAATGTTCTCAATACAGTGAATTTTTAAGTGTCACCAAGTCATTAGAAAAATGGAACTCAACCGAGAACATTTACGCCCCATAATTTATTACAACTTTCAGAGACAATTATCGCAACAAGAATGCCTTGCTGAGTTACTGTCTGTTTTGGACAACGAAGCGCCACATCAGTCGACAATTTCCCGTTGGTGTGGAGAATTCAAACGTGGACGCATGAGTCTTAGCGACGATCCCGGGGTGGGTGCACCAAAAACGGCAGTCACCCAGGAAAGCGTCGATGCTGTGCGCAAACTCATCATTGAAGATAAACATGTTACATATCGCGAGATTGAGGCGTCCTTGAAGATCTCAAAGACCTCAATTCAAAATATTTTACATAAGAATTAGCAGTAAGAAAATTAGTTTCTCGTTAGGTACCCCACCTGTTGACTGAAGAGCAGAAAGCAGCCAGGGTTAATTGGTGTCAAAAAACGCTTGACTGTTTCAATTCCGGAAACTCAAAAAATGTGTACAGCATCATTAGTGGTGATGAATCGTGGATTTACTGTTATGAATCAGAAAATAGACAACAGTCGGCTGTTTGGGTGTTCCAGGGTGAAGAAAAGCCAACAAAAGTCATCCGTTCTCGAAGTGTTTCGAAAAAGATGGTCGCGACATTTGTGTCAAAAGCGGGTCATATTGCAACGAACTGTTACTGCGGATTGGTATACCACCATTTGTTTGCGAAAAGTCATCACCGAGCTTCGATAAATCAACCCCGAAAGAAGAATCATCCTCCACCAAGACAATGCAAGCTCGCACACAGCCCAAAAAACAAGGCAGTATTTAACGGAAGAAAACGTGAAATTATTGAACCATCCTCCATTTAGTCCCGATCTAAGTCCTAACGATTTCTTTGCTTGCCCGAAAATGAAAAACAGACTGCGTGGTCAAAGGTTCCATTTACCAGAAGAAGCAGTTAACGCATTCAAAAATGCCGTTTTGGATCAGCCAGCAAACGAGTGGAATAAGTGCTTCAAAAATTGGTTCGAGCGCATGCAGATGTGTATTATCTTCGTGGAGAATACTTCGAAAAACAATAAGGTCATTTAAAACTACCTACCGTGTTGTTTTATTTCCATATGCAAAACTTAAAAGACATCCCTCGTATACACCGATTATACACTAATAATTCACCCTATCTATTGGACATGCACTTGCGCATTACAACACAGCCACGGAAGGGAAAAAAATTAGCTAAAAGCTATTCTTTCATAGCTGATCAGCTTAATTGACATTCTGGATGCCTGCCTGCCAAAACTGCAGAAAAACGATAAAATAAGTTGCCGCAGCAGATACAGCAGACAGCAAGGTGGGTCTGTTGGTCGTAAAGAATCCATCAGCTGTTAAATTTGGTTTCTGTGTCACCAGCAGCTCTTTCAAGCTTTCCATTTCGCTTTCGACGAAACCATTTGTGTAAGTGCGGACGTCCAGTTCAAAGCATTTGTCTGTGAGGTCTTCTGAGGCCTTTGCTGCTGAGTCACAACAAAGCGATATCACAATCGGCAGTACCTGAAAATTACAATTTTTATGACCCCTATATCTCAGAAGGTGGGATAAGTTTTTCATGCCTGGGTATGTAAGTATTAAAAAAATTCTATTTCACGGACTACTTATTTTAATAGAAACAATCAACCTTTAAATTCGTATTTCACCAGCTACAGTTTAAACGACTTTTGACATATGAGGTATCTCTAAATTTCTCTTCATAGTACAATTTTTTAATTTCTTCATTATTTTCAGTTAACTGCGGTGAGGTTGTTTACATTTTTTTTAAATGTGCTTGTTAGGTCTGTGTTCTGGTTTATAATTTTTTTGTCGCTGTAAGAAAAAATGTCTGAAATTATTGTCGCTGATGATTGTATTTATCCCATTATTTAGAGAGCCTAAAAGTCCCAGGCCACTTGATAAATTGGAATATTGGAAATTGAGAGGGAAACAGACGTCTCTTCTATCTATTAATTTAGCAGCGGCGCTCCTCTCCTACGCAACGTTCTATGATGCAGATACATATATTCGGTATTATAATCAAACTAAACTTCTTAATATATTTAGTATTGAATAAATTTCTATACATACCTTGGTGGAAGAGGCAATTGTTTTCACCGCACATTGTTTTTCTCAAAGCCCCCCCCCCTATTTTTTGAGCTGGTAAAACTTTGAAGCTGAAATTCTTGATGATCAAATTGACGCATGGATACTCAGTCTAATCCTATTAGGCGAAAATACCCCCGGTTTGCGGAATAATTGTAAAGTCTGGTTTCATTGCTGCAAGTTGTTCAAGGGGTTATTTAAAACATGGACGCATAAAATGGGTACACCAATTTTTGTGGGAAACTTTTTATTCCATAACAAGAGCGAGAAAACGTGTTTTTAAATCGAAAGTGTTGGCAGGAACGAAGGAACTCTTCATATAAGATTTTTAGGTATTTATAAGACCTACAAAATGAGACCACACGTAAAGAGATCCGACTAATAACAAAAAAGTTATGGCCGAAAACCGAGGCAAACTGTAGGTTTTGGCACTTGTTAGTAATGCGACGATCACTTCTCGCAGTTATTTGAAATTCTTCAAATTCGTAGGATTCGTACTAAATAACCACAACAAAATTTGAAAAGATTGGTCAAATAGTTTTTGAGGATTTCTAATTGTTTATCCAAAAACACCTGTTTTCGGGCCATCACTACTAGTTTCTTGATCGAAATACAGGGTTCAAAGGGCATTTTATTGCAAAATACCTTGCCGATATGAATCGTAAGCTATTCGAAAAAATGATGGGTTACGTTTTTTCTTCTAAACAAATTAAAATTTTTCGTATTTGTGAGTAATTCGCAACAAAACATGATAGACACATCCGTTTTGTTTTAAAATGTGTATTGTAACGTATGTTTTTCGGATATCGTAGAGCATTTATTGAATTACTCACAAATACGAAATGTTTGAATTTGTTTAGAAGAAAAAAACGTAACCTTTGTTTTTCTCATAAAAATAACATTTATCTTTCGGGATGGTTTGTGATTCATATCGGCAAGGTAAACACGTGTATTTTGCTATTAAATGCTCTTTGAACGAGCTCTCTATATTGCTCAATAAACTAGTAGTGATGGCCCGGAAACAGGTGTTTTGGGATAAACAATTAGAAATTCTCAAAAAAATACTTGGCCAATATACTCCAATTTTGTTGCTGTTATTTAGAAATATGAGTTTTTGGTCATAAAATTTTTGCAACTATTCATATCTTTTTACGTGTGGCCCCATTTTGTAGGTCTCACAAATATCTAAAAATCTTATATGAAGTTATGCTCCTGTCGGCACTTTTGATTGAATCATGAAAAACACGTTTTCTAATACTTTGTTGTCAAATAAAAAGTTTTCCCACAGAAATTGGTGTGCCCATTTTATGCGTCCAGTTTTAAATACCCGCTTGAACAACTTGCACAACTGAAACCAGACTTTACAATTATTTTGAAGAAATTTGCTAATATGATTAGACCAACTATATAAAAAAACAATTTAAATTTTATAATCAGGACAACAGGGCGCGCAGCCGATATATTGAAATTGGTAACTGCTCCTTTGATGATGAAATATAGTATTCATGCATCAATTCCATCACTCAAAATTTAAGCTTGCTAACTTAACTAGTTCAAAAAGAATGTGGGATGAAACTTTTCGAAAAGCTTTATACAGAGTGTTTCAGTTTATTGTTGCATAACTTTAAGATTCGATAGAACCTTTAAAATTAATGCATAAAGTGTATATAAACATGGGTCGAAAAATGCGTTGGTTCCGAAATACAGGGTGTTTAAATTTACTTTCTAAAATCGTTTTTTTTTTTAATATTTCGAACAATATTTGATGTATAAAAGTGAAAATTGGTATACAAGGGTTTTTTGGCACGACAAAACGAACCATGGGCATAGTTTTACTGTAGCCACTAGAGGGCGCTCTCTACTGTACCTGTGAGTACCTGTAGTGCATTAAAATTACCGAAAAATTTTTCTTAGTGCAATTTTTTGCTTTTTGAATAAAAAAAACTGATTCTTCGCACTTTTCAACATAAAAAAGCTGTCTTGTGAATTTTCGTTATAGTTAGCCGTTTTTGAGATATTTCGATTTTTAGGGTTCGATGCATTTTCAATTATTTATTATAAAATAACGTTAAAAAGTCAGTATCTCCATAATTTTTAGAAGTAGGCTGTGCCTGCAAAGAAATTAAAAGCAGAATAAGGTTAAACGTCAATTAGTTGACAGTTAGTTTTGTTGTCTGTTGAAACCTGAAACGTTTTTTGCAATTGTGAATGCACGAAACTTAGTTTCTTTTACCTGTTTTTTTCTTGTAAGTTTTATAAAAATGCCATTTTTATTCTCCAATCAAGAGTTAGCGGATATTCATTTTGTGTATGGCTTTGTAAATGGAAACGCAGCAGAAGCAGCCAGAGAATACGCACGAAGATTTCCAAACAGTCGACATCCAACTCGCTCAGTATTTGTAAGAGTGCATCGCCAAATAATTGAAAATGGTTTTGGAAATCTCCAAAGGGATCAAAATATAAATGTTCAGCGCATATTTACCCGTCCCGACCACAAGTGTTAGCAGAGTTTCTGGTGCCTTGGAAATTTCAGCAAGCCATGTTCACCGTGTTCTTAGAAATGACCATAGACGTCCTTACCATTTGCAACCTGTGCAATGACTACAGCCAGGGGACGGAGAACGAAGAATCACATTTTGTCAGTGGATTCTTGATAGAACTGATAATAATAGGGAGTTTTTAAGTAACGTTTTATGGACCGATGAGTCATGCTTCACTAGACGTGGAGTGGTAAATTTTCATAATCCACATATTTGGTCGCATGAAAATCCGCATGCAGTTCGGGAAAGAAATTTTCAGCATGAATTTAGTGTGAACGTGTGGATTGGTATCTACCGTAATCGACTATTTGGACCCTACCTTCTGCCTGTAAGGTTAAATGTTGCGACCTTCTTGGAATTTTTAAAGGCTGAACATGCAAATATGTGGGATGATGTTATGTTAGATTTAAGAAGATTGGCCTGGTTCCAGCTTGATGGTTGACCAGCTCATTATTCAAGAATAGTTAGAAACTGGCTGGACGAAAATTATCCAGAAAGATGGATCGGCCGTGGAGGACCAGTCGCCTGGCCTCCACGATCCCCTGACCTAAATCCATTAGATTTCTTTGTGTGGGGATTTCTAAAAGAAAAAGTGTACCAGACTCCCGTAACCACAAGAGATATGCTAATAGACAGAATCAGGAATGCATGTGATGAAATAAGGCCTTATTTGATTAATGCTATACCACGTTCGATCATTCATAGATCTGAATTGTGTATTGAACAATTGGGTTTACATTTCGAGCAACCACTTTAGATTTTGTATGTTTGTCCTAACTATCCAATAGCATTTTAGTTGTAAATAATTAATTTAATTTGTTAAAAATAATATTGGAAAATTAAACAAATTAATATTCTGTTTTTTGTGTTTATTTGGAGTTAGGAATTATAGCTGTGTTTAAAGACACAATCTAGACGATCATCTTAATTACTTATAATGCCCAAATCGAAAATGTAAAAAAAAATATTATTTTCCCATAAATAATTAAAAATGCATCGAACCCTAAAAATCGAAATATCTCAAAAACGGCTAACTATAACGAAAACTCACAAGACAGCTTTATTATGCAGAAAAGTGCGAGGAATCAGTTTTTTTTATTCAAAAAGCAAAAAATTGCACTAAGAAAAAATGTTCGGTCATTTTAATACACTACAGGTACAGTAGGGAGCGCTCTCTAGCGGCTACAGTAAAACTATGCCTATGGTTCGTTTTGCCGTACCAAAAAACCCTTGTGTACCAATTTTCACTATTATACATAAAATATTGTTGCGAAATATTTAAAAAAAAAACTATTTTAAAAAGTAAATTTAAACACCCTGTATTTCGGAAGCCACGCATTTTTCGACCCATGTATATATAGACGTTATGCATTAATTTTAAAAGTTCTATCGAATCTTAAAGTTATGCAACAATAAACTGAAACACCCTGTACAACAGTATAACAGTGCTCGGTCAATAATGGCATACCTCCTCTCAATCAAAGTACGAGAGCTATTTTTAAAGTAAGAATCAATTGCGCATCGTGCCCGCGCATGCTGTCACTTGACGTCCGTTCAACCTCAGACACTCTTGTCCAGTCTATCACTACGTTGTCATTACGTTTCTCGTCTCTGTCTGCGTAAGCTGTTTGGTCAAACTGCTCTGTTTGCGTCATGTTACTCAGTAAACACGCCTATTGTGAGTTTCGCTCAGTATTTGGTGTTTAAATGCAAAAAGTTCGTCCTGCTGTAAATGCTGAGAGGTGCAGTGAAACATCCTGGAAGCTTAGGCACCCTATTCAAAACTGCCGTCAGTGCCTGCACTCTGCGTCACTCTGCTGCGCGGCCTCATGTTGCGGCAAGAACACAGACGCAACTGGACAAGTTTTGTTGGGAATTACTGGATCATTCATATCTTTTTGAAACTCAAGGTATTTCCTGATGAAAACCAATTGGAAAATGATGGCATGTTGAAAGAAACCGTTACTAACTAGTTCAACAATGAATGCCACGAATTCACAAATATTCAGACTTCTATGTTGAAAAATAAACAAATGGTCATATTTTAGTTTGTCGTACAAGTTTCCTTGATGCCATTACAAAACGGTTTTTACTTAAAAAATGGCCCTCTTTCTATTATACCCTCTAGGATGAGTACTTACTGAATGAACGAGAAGCATACTGTATAGTCGCAGTCTAGGCGTACTATCTCCAGTTGCTATCACTACTAGACAGTACACAACAGCCACAATAGTTCTCAAGTACAGCAGCGCCACAGTCAACCCAAACACAGATACCAGGCGATCTGTTGCGAAGGTCACTTCCAAGTAGCTGGCTTTCACATTTTTTATGATTGAAATCGTATACTGATCAGCGTAGTTCTTCATAAAAGCATGTTCTAACATCGATTCGTAGTGTTTGTAGCACAACTTTATCATTTCTGTTACGTTGCAGACAAGACTCGTCACGATTATATGGGAGATGTTCGCGAATGCGTCCACAAACAGTTCCTTGTAGTCAAGACGAATGTTGAAGGTCACTATTGTAGCTGAAAAGCAAATAGTCAATAGAGCAAGTTACCTATTTGCTAATCGACAAGGTGAAAGTAATGTATAAACGGTGCGGAAGCCTAAATTCCAGGACCCCGCGGCTACTAGGGTTCGTCAGAAACAACGCATGCTTTTTAAATGAGTAGTACAGTCAAAATAAGTATTTGAAAAATACTTCTAAAAACTATGTCTCAAGCCTCTCCCGAAATGAGCCCATTGCATCGGCCAGCATCCGTGCAGGAATTTGGGTTACTTCTCTTCTTATTTACTCTTTCAAATCGCCGAGGGTTCGAGGCTTGCTTTGGTAATCTTTTGATTTCAGGCAGCCCCATAAAAAAAGCACACGCTGAGAGGTCCGTTGAGCGAGGGGACCATGAAATATCGCCATGACGTGATATGAGACGTCCTGGGAATTTTTGCCGAAGAAGTTCCATCGAAGTGCGAGCTGTGTGAGATATAGCCCCTTCTTGTTGGAACTACACTGTTCTGGGACGGACATGTCGAGGTCGAAGTTCCGGAAAAAAAACTTGATTAGCATGTGGATGTAACGCTCCGAATTCACAGTAGTTGTTTCTCCATCATCCTCAAAAGAACAAGGGCCAATAATCATCGTTGAGCCTACAGCCTGTAACTGTCGGGGGGTTCACTGGAGACCAATATCGACAATTTTGTTTATTGCCGTATCCATGTAAATGAAAATGTGCTTCATCACTCATAAACAACGTCATGTCGTTGTTATCCAACTGTTCAATCATGAGCTGTGCAAAATTAACACGTTGTGCATAATCCCCTGGCAACAGTTGTTGACAAACTTGGATTTTGTAAGGTTCCCTACGGAACTGGCACACAAACGGACGGAACGGTTCTAACAGTACGGTTTCTACTTCATCACATTACTTGTTGTGTTAAATGCTTTCACCCTCTCAAAACGGTGTTACGATCTGGTACTGTCCCACGACGTGGAACACGAAAGTGAACGCGAAACTCACGTGGCGTTCGAACGACGGACTCGCCATTTTGAAAGTACTGACGTACAGTGAACACACGATGCTCTCCGTTCCAAACCGTCTTGCCAACTGAAGCGGCACTTCTCCCACTATCCAACACGCTCTTCCCCACCGACACGGGATCAGCCCATTCGATGTAGTACCCATTCGAAAAACATGCGTTCTTTCTGACGGACCCATGAAGAGCTTTTGTTACTCCGATTTTGAACTCCATAAGGTTAGTAGCACTGGGAAAAGAATCCTCATTTGGATTGTTCCACCTATGGATAAAGTAGCGTTCTGGATGAATGAAGTTTGACAGGGTTAGGATGGGAGGAAGAAGTCTGGCGGATCTGACTGACAGGCACGTCACACGGGAGCATGATGGAGGAGAACCCTTACGAGCTTGCCGATAACGATATTTATACCTCTTCACTTAGGCACTTTATACTACATACCTATCGAAATAGCGCTATAGATTACCATACAACCAAAAAATGTGAAATCAGCAGTAACGTATATCGGCTCTCGAACGTCGGGTTGTACGATATTCAAGGCAGCCCTCAAATGAATCAAGCATTTGGACCACATCAGTCTGATGATGAAATTTGTTTTCACTGCAGTCAGTACATACAGAGCAACTGAGAAAATGTTCAGTATCACAATGAAGTAGGATAACCCTAGAAAACAAACAAAAGTTATTCAGTACTGTTCTCATTTTCCGTGATTTTAAATTCTTCACTATCCTTTTATCCACAGCACTGATTCAACAGTCTGTCGAATGATATTACCTGAAATTTCACGTATATGATCTACATTAGACCACGTTTGTAAAACAATAAGTCCAGCAATTGTGAACCCAGCATACCATTTGTACCTTTTTTGTGTAGGAATAGCACCAATGTTATCAAAGTTTGTTGGTGGCAGCAAGGCTATCATTGCAGCTAACTTGGATAATATCTCCAAGCATCGTATGTCACTTCTACTCTTGAACATTTTGACTCTTAAAGCATAGTATGAACGTAAGTTTATATGAGGCATGTGAAAAAAGCCGTATTGATTACAACACTTATAGGATAAGTGCTGTTTTAGATTATTCTTTTGATTTTGACTTGTTTTTGTTGTTGAGCTACCTGATCAAAAGTGTACGTAGCTATGTTACATAAAATATACCAAGAACAGCCAGTAACAATAAATTTATTACTAAAATTTTCTAGGTATGTGTATGTTTGTTTAGGTTAGGAAGGGAAACGATCAGCCTTTCAATCATATGAATAAAAAGAGTTTTGTGATATCATCTGCTCTTACAAAATAACTAACTAAGCGATAGCTGCTTTTTGTAGATCCATTTGGCATTAGATCTTCGTACAAGAGGGAAGAGTGAGAATACGAGAAAGTTTTTAACAGCTTAGAGAGTTTGATAGTAGGTGAATAGTGAGCTTACGTGAGGCTTGTTGGTTCTTTAGAGAAATAGCCACAACGGTGAACAAAGTCTAGATATAGGGCATGTCAGAACGGGATCGCTTCTTGTCCAGAAGCTCAATTTCGGACAATGGTTTAAAGAGCATGGAAAGTCTGTTAAAATGCGAATTATTTATCATCGGACCAACAGCTTTGGACTTATATATATATACAGGCCTGGCCTGAGTTTGACCTGCCTCTCACCCCTGGACACCGAAGTTTATATCGTCTGGCCTGATGCAAAGAGCGGCTGAACTGAGGCCATTGTATTATTACTTTTTTAAACCTTTTTAATGGCTGTATTTTTCTGAAATTTTGATCAATTACTTGATATGTATCCAAACATGAAATGCGAAGGGCTTTCGCGACCATCGTCCAACGTTATGTGGTTGGTTTTTGGGTAGTTAGGCCATCCTAAAATATTTTTGCTTCACGTTTCGCCCACCGAGTGGTTGACATCTTCTTCCGAGTGTTCTTTTTTCTATGCCTAAAATTATTTTTTATAACGAATCCCAGAGACTGCTACAGTTTTGGAACACTCTTTTCCGGAACTTGTTTTGTGTACTCGTTATAACAGGCTTCGACGAACATTTTTCTGTGTTCTGTGATAGAACGGCTAGTGCTTCCTAGCCTATACTCTTTTAATTTTATCTAATGTATAACTTTCATCAATTCACGTTTATGTTTATCCTCTATGCTTTTACCCATCAAGCATACAATTTTACACAATTTATCCATCCACTTGGGTACTCATTTACATTCCACTCCGAAGATTAATGAGATTAATGCAGTAATTCAAGAACTTCCGTCAAGTAGATGCACTTAGTACTCGTATCGACAGGTTTACAGTTTACAGATTGAAAAGTTATCTCAAAAGACCCCACAGAAACCTTATGAGGAATGGCTCTCGGCTATTTTTTTTGCTATCTTGTAGATCTTAACACATACAACAAGGTGTCCATGGGGACAAACTTTTTCCACAATTAGTTTCCGAGATGCATGGCCTCAATGTTGGATAGTGCCTACCCTGTTACAGCGTATTCTGGATTTGGTACACGATATACATATAATACGAATAATACATATAATACGTATAATACGTATAATACGGATAATACGTATAATACGGATAATACGTATAATACGTATAATACGTATAATACATATAATACATATAATACATATAACAAATCAACTATAGGAGTGCTATTTAAGGAAATGAAAACCAAGAAACGTTAGTTATGTTTACGGCTTATTTGCTGGTGGAACAATACGAGCACGAGTGTATATGACAGCATTTAGGTCATTGTAAATAATGAACTGGATACCATTTCCACGACTATAAAGGTGGGAGGAGAGCTCACTTGCTCTTTTAATTTAAAAGGGAAATAGGTCGGCAAGAGTTGTTACTCGATTACAATTTGGAACAGAGGATTTTAACCAAATTATCGAAGCAACTGATACACGGAAGGTAATCGAATATCTGCTCCGATGACTTTCCGACCGAAATTATAGGATAATTGAATTATGTTCTTTTTCAGTCTGTAGCTTCGGCTTGATTCGCTTGACGGAAAATATCCGTGCAAGTCTTTTCAACCTTTGTCCTCTTGTAAAAGCCTTGGATCGTATGCACCCGTATGTCCTTCATTCTTGTTGAAGGATTCGGTCATAGTTACAATGTTTTAGGTAGCTGTTGTAGATAACTTGCATACATTTTTCAAAACTGATGCAGTACCCTTCTTCTATCGTAAGCGCGTTGGAAGAAAGGTCTTCGCAATTTGTACATTAAAAGGAAGCTCACACAAAACTTCTGCATTTCCCGCTGGAAGGATAAGACATATTTTTTATTTCTAGATGGGCTTAGAACGTAGGAAAATGATATTTTCCCATATCTGACTTCTACAGCAAATGCCAAGGGCAACGAATGGAGCAATTTGTGACGATATGCTAGAAATAATTATTTTATAACTTTGGAGAGACCATGCTGCACAAGTTGTTCTAATTAAGGTGGAAGTGCACGCATATGATGTTAATGCACTTCCATCAATTTTATAGCCAGGCTATTCTATATATTTTATTAATTTCCATGATAAAAACTGGCAAGGAAGTGTAATCGCAAAACATTTTGGAAATGATATATCATGCTTTTTGGATACTAAATGATAGGAAAAACCAAGTAACTCATTCCTGATTGTCTGTTTCCGCTGATTATAGCCTCCTCTAGTGCTGTGGAGGGACCGCTAGGTTTTAGATGATATTTTGACACAATGTTACTAGTATGTCAAGAATGAAAAATCTCTCTAGGTTTTGAAGCAGAAAAAGTCTCCCAAACCTCGGTCTTTGACGTTTCAGAGACTCCTGCTCATTCTGAGAAATTTCTCCGCAGGAATCGGAAATTCATAATTGGAGATTTTAGAGTACCAAGGGTTGTGAATCTTAGGCATTTGGCATCAGTGAAAGACGTTCTATCATCAAGAAGCAAATATGCGAGGCAAAATCCGACAACAGTGTTGCTCTTGAATCCGTGAAATACGTCTGAACTTCCCCATTTTAAGATTAGATTAGATGGCACCAAAGCAGGATTGAAGATTCTGGCGCAGTCTATGAGACAGTTCCAAAACCAAACATTAGCTTTGTTCAAAATAGATTTTTTAAATTCTTTTTTGTGTTATGCTACTGTCTCACAGATGGCATTAGGATCTTCTAGTCTCTTTTTGGAACACAGTTGACTATCTACAGGTAGAATTTGTTAGTGAATGGTTATGGCCGACCGCCCGATGACATCAGTAAATTCTTTGGAGCCAACGGAAAAGGTACGCGCAGGCGATGTTTTCGGCGGGAACTGGAGGCATGCAGAATATACTTTATCACGGTTTGGCAAAAATTCTAGTAGTACCCCAGCGCTAGGAATGGGTAAGACATGACCTTTGTTTTTTTTTTTTCATAGGTTAATGTAACGTAGCTTTTGCGTCCTAGAATAGTATCAACGGAGGCTTCACCACTGGATCCGACCTCTCGTTCCCTAGATGTTCAAGAAAAAGAGAAGGTTGTACATGCTGAATCGAGAGTATTAGTTTCACTTTCAGAGGTGCCTGATCCTAGCTCAATTCAGCAAGACAATTATAAAATTCAATTGAGATCAAAACATTGCTACGTTGTATTCCATTTTCTTTGTCACTGAGCATACGTATACTGAATTATAGACCCTGATTCGATTCTTTGACTTGGTACTCTAGCATCTGGAGTTTGATATAAATAATGACATCTCTGGCTTATGAAACGCAGCCTCATATTACAGGCCTGAATCGGTCTACAGTGATATACATTGCATTTTCGTATGCGATCAATAAAGTAGAGTATTTCCAACAGCCACTAGATGTCGGAGCAACGCTGTTCTCTAGACAATTTCTACTGTAAATTAGGGTTGAATGTACGAGGCGCACACTTTAACATGTAAGCTCATTCACCATTTTATAAACAAATTGACATGATAAGTCAATTATGAACAATTAAAAACCAGGATCACGTCTCGGGGGCAAGTAGTGTAAGTTGCCTACTTTCAGGGGGTATTGTGAAGCCATTTGCGCTTATTATAAAGTAATTAAGAATGAAGAAAAGAAATAATAAACAGCAGTGTAAAAACAGAATGCACATTTATTTTAAGTTTTCAAACAAAAAACAATGCGGTCTCTCTTTCCTTCCCTTTCGTAATATTTTCCTGCAAGTGTGAGTCTTTGGGAGGCCAATGGTACCGCGTTGTGACCTTGTTGACGTGAATGTTTGTTTTTCATATTGCTCTTCGGGGTCAAAGATGGGATATTTTGCACTTTTTCAAATGTAAAATCGCTTATGACTCGAAAACTAGAACCAAAATCAGCGGTTACTTCTTCAGCACCAATTTTTTTTAGTTCATTTCAAGTACATACTCTAATGTGAGAACAAATCGGTCTTGAAATTTTCATCTCTTATTTTTGTATTAAGATATACTATTCATGCGTTAATTTCACCGTTCTGGATTTCAGCTTGCTAACTCGATCCGTTAAAAAAATAAGGAGAGCTCGCTGAAAAGCACCGTATGTGTCTAACAATGAGAAGTGAACGGGATGAAACGTCATTTACGATTTGACTTGCTGATAGGATAATCTTAAACGACAATATAATCAATTAATTTAGTATAAAATATAAGAGATAACTTACTAGAGTTAAAATCGCGGAAACTTTATATAATAATAGTAATAATAATCTTTATTTGTTCTGTAGATTATTTGTCATGACATAGAATACGTCAAGATACTCTATCTTGCAAGTAAAATAGATAAATAAAAAAAAACAATACACAGTCCATCTATAATTTGAGAAGTACCAATCGGATTTTGATGAAACTTTCACACAAGATTACTACCATTCCAAGGTCGAAAAGCCTTCATACTATTTGAAGAAATGGAAATCGCTCAAACTTCGTTTTTTGACGTTTGACGATCACTTTTAAAAAAAAAATTTGGGGGTTAAAAATTGGTGGTGGGGGGTGTTGGTTGCTGGGGAAGGGCGTATTAGAATTTTTAGATGTAAAACGCTTCCAGCCTCAATAATTCTACACACCTATTCGACATATACTAAGTGACATATAAATCCGAACACCCAGTTTAAATGGTTTTATTTTAATAAAAGTTGGTGAATGTATTTATATTACTGTAAATAACAAGTGTTTTTATACTGCTTTTTTTTAATTCACTAACGCTCTAAAAATGAATATTTCAGCCGCAGTAAAGAATCAACGTTGGCGGATTTTGGTTCTTGACATCCTTTACGATCGGTTACGATGCCTAGAGTACGGAGACCTGTACGATTTCGTCAACTTAGTGAGTTTGATAGTGGCCGTATAGTGGGACTTCGGGAAGCTGGACTTTCTTTTCGGGCAATTGCAGTTAGAGTGCAAAGAAGTGTAGACACTGTGGTTAGGTGTTGTCAGGCATGGCTTCGAGAAGGCCGTACGCAAAGAGCAAGGGGCACTGGACACCGCCGTAGAACAACAGACCGTGAAGATCGCCGCCTAAGATTATTGGCCTTAAGGGACCGTTTCTCCACTACCAGGTCCATTGCAAATGAATGGTTTGCAGAACACGGAAGACCTATTGGCATGCGAAGTGTTTACCGACGAATGAGAAGTTTTGGCTTGTTTTCATACCGGCCACACTGGGTCCTCCCTTTAACTCGAGAACACCGACGTAATCGCCTTGAGTGGTGCAGACAACGGTCACTCTGGGATCAGGAATGGAACAGTATTGTCTTTAGTGACGAGTCTCGATTTTGTGTAGGCATGCACGATGGTCGCGCCAGGGTTAGAAGGCGACGTGGTGAAAGGAGGAATCCACAGTTTTTTGTTGAAAGACATGTTCATCACACTGTTGGAGTTATGGTTTGGGGTGCTATAGCTTATGGTTCCAGGTCACCTTTAGTCTTCATCAGAGGTAACATGAACGTTATATCCACGAAGTTCTAGAACCCCATCTTTTACCCTATCTTGACACCCTGGCAGATCCAACTTTCCAACAAGATAATGCCCGACCACATGTTGCAAGAGTCATAATAGACTTCTTTCAACATAATGATGTCACATTGTTACCATGGCCACCAAGATCTCCCGACTTATCCCCAATTGAGCACGTGTGGGATATGATGGGTAGGAGATTGCTCAATTTGCAACGTCCTCCTCAGACTCTAGAAGCACTTCGAGAGGAGTTGGTGGTTGCCTGGAATGAGATACCACAGGATTACATTGACCACCTGATCAGGAGCATGCCTAGGCGCGTTGGAGAATGCGTAGCACATCAGGGTGCATCCACACATTATTAAAGGTCAAAGGGCTTTAAAGCAGTGCAATCATTTTGAAATTTTTATCATTTACTTATTATGCTTCATTAAGTACTTATACAAAATTTTATTAAAATAGAACCATTTAAACTGGGTGTTCGGATTTATATGTCACTGCGTGCCGGTGGTCGTATATGTCCTGCATGACTGCGCTCTGCCGCGTATGATGCATCATGCTTTCAGTTATTGGGAAGAGGTCACACAGCGTTGCCAGATGGACGGTACTAAGTACTACACTGCTACGGTAGGTCAGGTAAGGGATGTTATGAGGTAATTCCATGGACCTGCTTGTCGGACTTGATCCGTCTAATTTCTCTATTATACATGTTCGTATCTAACTTTTTTTAAATATGCTGCTTTCGTCCACCTACTTGATGCTATTTGCTGTTAATAGAACTGTCTCTATGGCGAATAAAAGTATCGTCATCTTGTTTACATAATGTATAAGTTACGAGACACGTTTATAGAAAAAAAAGCTAAAGGCACCGACTCCATGCAACCGAGTGGAAGCGTTCTCGTCGCTATTTAGGGCATTGCTTCTGCAACGCGGTTTCAGCTACATGATTCATTAAACAAAATAGAAATAGCACTCGCTAATCGTAAGTAGGATTGCGTTGTGGTTAATAGTGCCTTTAATATGGCACAAAGACAGAAGATCGATTGATCTATCAAAAAACTGAGCTACTTCGGTGTGAGGACGCTTATGGTAGGACAGGAGAGGATGAACGTAACTTTCGCAAGGATCTGTCCTATGGCCATCGCTTCGGAACGAGTTCTAGGATGGGGTTCTTCGGTTGCAGATGCTGCCGGGAATTCGCTTAATAGGGCATGCTGAAGACCTTGCGATGATGACAAAAATTACCATATCGATGGAAGTAAATGGCTTGAAATTAGCTTCTGAGAAGACGAAAATGCAATTAAGTGTCAGGGTGAGTGGCTCTACAAAGACCTAAAAATTATTGAACATACGCGCTGATAAGATAATTAAAGTCCTCGCATCTCTGATACGATTAATGCCACATGGAGGCCCCAGTAGTGAGAGGAGCTATCATCTATAACAAGAGCCTGAGGTAGAAGCCAGAGAAAATTAGTACTGCGAGTGGTATGTGCTGACAGAACGGTGTCGGCCGAAGCACTGCTGATGGTGGCTGGTATCCCACCAATTGATTTGCTGGCTCAGGGGGATCTGCGGTCTGAGCGAAAAGGTCGCCGAAGCTCGAAGCGTCTGATAACAGAAGAGATGAGACGCAACTGGTCATATCGCATGGAATAGAAGGCGACTTGGAGATATTAAATTTGGATTGCTAAAGGAGAAGTATGGATAGTCTTATACTTCGAGCAGAAAAGGCCGGCAGGGCAATAATCTCGAGCTTTCCTGGGTGGGAGTGGATGTAAAAGCTTTCCCCTGTCAAGAAAAGTCCCGCAGCTCGAAGAACTTCAAGATATCGTCGGCAAGGCAATATTAAAAATCCAGATATAAGAATTAAGCAAATTATTCGAAACGTATATTTACAATAACGGCTACTGAATCCGAACAATGTAATTGAACCCATAAGAAACCCAATTAACCTTAGTTCTCCAATGAAATTACTGTTATTTTCTGCTTCGCCGCTTCATACAAAAAAAAACCTTATATCGGTTTTGCATTACGAAAAACTTGCGTCCATGTTACGTCAAGACGGTGCTCTGGCGCACGACGCCGGTCACGCGGTGTTGCCATTATGCGACAGGTTATTGTCCTTGTTTGACAAAAGTTTTGTCATCGGCAACATACATATAGCATGCTTCTCGCATTTCTCTCTCGTACACAATACGACGTCAGCAAAATTTGAACCTCACCATATATGGGGTGAAATTTGACGCACTTTAGATTATCACGTCCTGGAAGGAATACAGCTAATTACCAGTAACTCTGTATCCCGATCATATTTCAAAATTATCATGGCGGATCTTACACAGGATGAGTACCGAATGTGTAATCAGTCAACAGTTCCATTATTAAATGAACACAGAAATCCACTTTGAAAAGAGTTGTGTTTAGATTCGCTGCTGTCCCATAGATGGGGTTTGGATTTGCGCTCCCTTTTTGGTCTCTCTAATGACTATTTTAAATGGACAGCTTGAGGTTAATCAATGCCTGAAGATATCCAATTCAAACTGGCGTTAGAGGCATTTTTGGACGGGGTATATGGTTGGTCATCTCAAGGTACAATTAGGTACTTTAATCAATGACACAATTCCGCAACAAGAAGACAATTGGTCCTAGCAACTGATGAGGCCAAAGAAAAAGGGAGAATACCGACAATAGTTGTACGCTCAAGAGGGGATAGAACAGCCCGTGTACAACGGGTTGACAAAAAGAAGCCTGTCGATTGGGGTGGCCAGAGTCAAGCACGGATTCGAGGCTAACCGCATGTGATGAAGACGAACTGCAAACTGACTGACTGACGACTGGCTGACTCCAGTCGACGTGGAAAGAGCGAAATCTCAACAACCTTAATGCTGGGCTTAGGTCAAAGCCCCCAGCGCAGAACCTCCAAGAAAGAGGCCGTCCATAAAAGTCGAGAACCGACAGTTGAGAGAAATGTCCACGACATGTTCGCGATCGAGTCACTTTAGGAATGGGGTAGATCACTTGACAGCACGCACTTGAAAAACAAGTGCGGTACTCGGGTCACGCAGCTTCACTCCAAGCCGGCGGCGGGAAGGGGAGGAAGAGCCAGTTACTCTTCCACCCCACCCCTCAAGGTATGAGCTTGCCTGAAACGAGGGTGGTGGTGGGACCGCACGGGGTAGGAGAGTGTGTGTGACATAATTAAATGAGAGCGCACGCACTGAAGCAACGTGTCGCGTTTGACGCTGTAAATGACAAATGTCACTGCGAATCCCTTTGCGTGGGCTTCTCCTGAGAGAGCGTGCAACCTACAAACTCCTAATATGCCTCCTAGACTAGGAATTTCTATAATCTGCAAATTCTATGAAATTTCCCAACTATCGGCAACGCCGCCGTCGTCTCATCTAGTCACCGAAGTGATTCCATGACTCGCTGTGGAAACAGCTGACAGTCGCGACCCGACGCCTGCTCGATAAATTGGCCGCCGCTCGTCGTTCCGTCGCGTTGTTGAGTACTGTTGAGTGGTTGTGTTGAACCTGGTGTTGGGATATCGACGCGACCATGTTGAACAAGCATTAGAAACGCCGATTCAAGGGGGGTTTCATTCAGAAAAATGGGGGAGCGAGAGCGGATAGCCAAGAACCCCATCCGGGTCGGGTTCTATGATATCGAAAGGACTATCGGTAAAGGGAATTTCGCTGTCGTGAAGCTGGCTAAGCACCGGATAACAAAAACTGAGGTGAGATCCTTTGCTGATGCTGTTCGATTCATACAGTCCCCTTTCATTCGTCATGGAGATACCCTCATCTCGGAAGTGTGTCCAATGCAATAGGACATCTACGTTTTAACTCGGGATACTTACGTACTTATCTCACATTTTCGACTGACATCCATTGAAGAATTCGATTGAGCACAACTAAAGCATCCTGGTTCAGATTCATATTATTTTGATAGAACTTTCCTATATAAACGTCACATTGAAATGATGACATGGATCAGAATCAGGATCTATAATCAATAAGACAAAATAATTGTCATGTTCTTAATAAGTGTTTCTCTCTGAAAATGATGCAATTCAGGAAAAAGCTCCTGTCACCCATTTCAAATGTTACTTCTAAGTATCACAATACAAGGGCTTATTACAGTTGATATAATAATCTCCAATGTGAATTTGAGCAACGCACTACTTACCTACTGAATGCATAGTTTATGCATAATGAAGAACCGTAAGGTTATTCACCGAATCCGCTTGCACTGCATTCAAAATTTTAGATTTTTAAAGAGCATTTGACACCTTTAACAGGCATGACTAACAACGTTAAGATAACGTGTCTCATTATGTCAAATGTCAGACGAGTTGAAAAGAATTCTATGCGATGATGTCCTTTTCTGTAAACGAAACAATTGTTGTATAAAAGTATAGGTTCTATTGAATGTCCGATAAAATGTTCAGCATATCATAAAAATATACCTAGGTTCTATTGAATGCAAACAATTCTACCAGCCACTATCTTACATGACATAGAGTCGTAATGGAGTATTTAATTCCAACGGCTGATAGCCTGTCAGCCGTATTTGGCATATTATGTTCATCATATCATTGATGCAGTTCATGCCAAAGCCAAATGCTAACAAGTGAAGTCTTCTTCTATAAAACTGACACCTATGTATAAAGGTTCTATTGAATACAAACAATTCACATACACTATATTATATTTGACATAATAACATAATGTTGTATTCTGATACAAAACTCTTAGACCGTAGGCAAGTGACTTTTTACAGAACTATAATTAATCAGTTTCAACATAGAAATTATCTTATTCCGTTAAATCACTTATACCAAACGAGAAACAGAATCAACAACATCAAACTCCTTTCACCTCAAAAAGTGTAGGTCAAACATTTCATTTCATTCTTATCTGTCCAGCTGTATATCACCGAATGATAAGAGATATTTCAAATAAAACTAAACTCAAAATTGAAGCAAAAAAATTCATAAATGAGAAAGATCGACGTGAAATTGCAAGAATTGCAAGAATGGTACATATGAAAGAAAATGAAACAATGTAGTAGTCCCATATTCATATACATGTATATAGGTATAGGTGTGTATTTATGTGTGTACCACGTATATGTACCTATATGTATGTATTTGTATAAGTTATATGTAATTCATTCCCAGGAACAAAATTCATTTTTCTATGGGTACTTGCAGTTTATTTACGTGTATGTAGTTTAGTTTTAATTATGTCTGTACAATACGTGAATAAACTTATTATTATTTCATTCTAACAGCTGTCATCCTGTCGGTCGTGTTTGACAAATCGTTGATTGCAGTTCATGCGAAGGGTCTTACATTTTTAATGGCTTAATTCCTCTTTATATGCTTGTATCATCGTCAAGTTTGTTAAAACCGAGAAGCCAAAAGCGGCGAATTTATACTGAAGAGCATTCTGAATTAACCAAGGATTTACGCCTCTTCGGGCTCTTAGTGAATATCTAGTGTTGGATGCCTGTAACAGTTTTTATGATATGCTTAGAATCTTATCACGTATCCTGCAATGTTTTCCTACTAAGAAATTAAGTAAAAGGGTGTTGAAAATGCACTTTACTGCGCAGATTTAATTTTACATCGAATAACTAAAAAATGTTCGTATAACTGTTCCAAGGCTGTATTTCAGCGATTCAGCGACTCAAAATGACAGTTGCCCTAAATTGCTTCCTGACCTGGATCAATGAATAAAAATTTACCGATCTCAGTATAACCATAATCATCTACTAATACATGAATAATTAATTATGATTGTCATTTTCTATGTTACAAAAGTAAAGACTTGTTTTGTACTAACAAACGGGGTAAACATGTATAGAATAGTGATAGAGTATGCTCGAAGCAAGTGAAATGTCACTAGTTCAACTGCCACAAATATCTTTTGTTTTATAAATAGGTCAAGTAGTTAGTCTGATCAATCAGGTTGAGGTAAACAATAAACTAGGCAATGTTTCGGGCGAAAAAGGGGAGGGGAGAATACGGGAAGGAAGGAAGCTGAATATAATTTCGACAATGAATGAATCGTTTGTCTATTGATTTTCCTACCGACAAATCTGATACGTGAGGAAATAAGCTATACAGTATACAAATAATTGGAAGACCATCAGCCTTAGAATACCCCGTACATGTCAAGACTTGTCGGCAGACTTATCAGGCGGTCTCGAATTCATTTCACATCGACGAGGAGTCAAAAGTGTGTCTCTTTTCTACGGATATGTTCGATCTGACCAGTTCTTTGTTCATAGAAACAAAAGTGTCGAGCGATTAACTCATGGCAGTTTCTAGCATCGGATATAAGTAATCGTAAATGACGGTGTAAGACTTCAAAACGATTTGGACTCTCTGCAAAAGTGTTGCACTGAAAACAGTATCTTCCTGAATTTAATAAAATGTCATTACATGAGGCTTACTAGAAACGTAGCAAACACTATAGATTTCAGATATAAGATAGGAACGGCAGAACTGGAAAAGCTTCATGTAGTAAAAGGCCTAGGGGTATACATTGATGAGAAACTCTCATTCATCACTCACGTAGAGCACATCGTAAATGATGCAAATAGAACACTAGGACATGCAGAGAATTTACGAACCCAAAAACGCTGCTTATATACACAACAAATTGATGTTTGAATCAGTAATATGGGATCCGTCTTACAATGTACATCCAGCCAGGATAGAAAGAATTCAACACAAATTTTTGAAGATGTTAGCACATAAAACTCACCAACCTGTTACAGATCATCATTATACGCAAATTATGAAACAGTTCAATATGATTTCCTTAAAAGATAGAATAACGATTTCTGACATTTGCTGTGTTTATAAATTGTTGAATGGCTTCACTGACTGTCGGATCTTTTGGCTAACTTGAACATTAACACTCCTGATAGAACCTATCGTCTGTTTAGAATACCGTTCCGTAGAATCAATCTTGGGCTTAATTCCCCTTTGGTCAGGGCTCAAAAAAATCAAAGTTATTTCTGTAATAGTATAGATTTATTTAACATTAGCTTGATCTTCCTGAAAAAGGCTTTAAAGTATGAGTATTACAACTCTATGGCAGACTAAAATAGAAATGTGTTATTTTGTTTACATAACTCAAGTTATCACCTCCAATATCATTTCTGGTATAATTTCAATTTAATTTTGATTTCAGATTTAATTAAACGCAAGTTAATGTTAAATTATGTATACTCCTTTTATTAAAATGGTTAAATTAGTAGACTATTACTACTAACTCAGTTTATGTTATCGCAAAATAGAAAAATATATATATATATATATATATATATATATATATATATTAATATTAAAGTATTCAATAATGTGATATATGTATATGTATACGATATTTTATGTAAGTTTAGTTTTAGTTCACTGTATATAAATAAATAAATATATAAATAAATAGAGGCTTTCTTGAATAATATTGACTTCAGCTAGACCAAAACATAATAACAAAATCACTATGATCTTTATAACAATCGTTGCCACGTATTTAGGCACTCCCTTGGAAGCTGCTTGAGAATAAAATTGTTAATGAATCGTCACGAAAGTCTACTAGAGAATGACAAAAGACCTATGTAGAAAAAGGGGCATCGTGCTTCAAAATGAACAAAATCAATATATCTAGCTTATCCAAAATCATCTGCAAAAGTATACTGGGTGGTTGAAAAACTATGAGGCTAAAATGATGGCCAAAATCGATTAAACAGACTCTATCTTGGTTAAGGAGGCTAAAGATCAATCTACCTTAGGTAAAATGTGGCACCTACCCACAGCTAAAGTAGTTCCCTCTTTCGCCTAAAAAGTTTATTCTTGGTACATTTTCTCTGAATGGGAAGTGGATACACTCAAAAAGTTCAAACGCCAACGCCATGTCCTTAGGATCGACTTCCGTTAGATTGAAGAAATTACATTTTATGTTCTCACCTTGACTACTTGGCATCAAATATGTAATGTGTCGTATAGACATCAGGAGTAAAAATCAAGCCAACATCCTGAATTTGAATTTCAATGTCCAAATCCCAAATACGCTCTTTCTAACACATAAGCGAAATAACTATGGAAAATATCGAAAGCATTCAAGTTACAATTGTTTCCTCATTTAACGTACAGTGCAACTTTAACCGCTTCAGAGTGATAATCCATCCAATCTTAGATTAGACTTCCATTTCTGTTTAAAATGATCTAATCTACTACAAAGAAGCATTTTTATTCCTGTACAAGAACAAGGGAATTCCATTCAAAGCGGGCGTCGTCCTATCAACGATGTTTTTCGACCTCGATTGGCCCACTTCCTTAATAATGTAAATTTAAGTACCCACAATTGAAACACCCGGATGCATCAGAGTACAGAACATGAGAAAACTCTTTGTCCAGCATCTGTGTCCGCAAAGAGAATAGAGAACGGACATTGCCGTCGCATTATTTCCCAACAGCACGCACAAAGAGACAATTAAGCCGTACGATATTGTGGTGTTCGACATGAAATCTCCAAACAACCTTTTATAGGTAATTGACGTCAAACGTGACGCAAGTCGAGTAGAGAGTGCGTCTCGGCGATCCAGCAGCACAGCAGCAGCCTACGACAGCGTGATGTGGCCATCACGCCGACCTGAACTGAATCCGCTTGATCGCGCGCCATGCCAATGGGAATTTATAATTTGTTTTCACCTGAACAT